GAGTAGAGTAGAGTAGAGTAGAGTAGAGTAGAGTAGAGTAGAGTAGAATAGAATAGAGTAGAATAGAGTAGAATAGAGTAGAATAGAATAACAGAGTTGGAATGGACCATAGACATCTTCTAGGCTAATCCCCTGCTTAGGCAGGAAACCCTGTACCATTTCAGACAAATGGTTGTCCAATCTCTTTTTAAAAATTTCCAGTATTGGAGTATTCACAACTTCTGGAGGCAACTTGTTCTACTGATTGTTCTGTCAGGAAATTTCTTCTCCTTGGTTGCTTCTCTCTTTGATTAGTTTCCATCCATTGCTTCTTCTCCTGCCTTCAGGTGCTTTGGAGAACAACTTGACTCCCTCTTCTTTGTGGCCACCCCCTGAGATATTGGAACACTGCTGTCATGTCACCCCTAGTCCTTCTTTTCATTAAACTAGATATACCCAATTCCAGCAACCATTCTTTATATGTTTTAGCCTCCAGTCCCCTAATCATTTCTGTTGCTCTTCTCTGCACTTTTTCTAGAGTCTCAACATCTTTTTTACATCGTGGTGACCAAAACTGGATGCAGTATTCCAAGGTCTTCTAAAATGATATAAACACTTCACATGATCTTGATTCTATTCTTATGTTAATTCAGCCTAGAAATGTGGCCTTTTTTGGACAGCTGCAGCACACTGCTAGTGACGAATGTGCCATGATATACCCATGTAACACTGCCCCTCAGCAAGCTGCACTGTTTACAATTAGCTTCTGATGATATTCAAGATGCTGTCACCAGCTCTAAATACCCTGGCTATCTGAGGACTGCTTATCTCCAATAGTTTCTGCTTGCCTGAAAGATTGGAGAGAGTGGGCACTTAATGGGTCCCTTTGATTAAACAATGTCACCTGATAGGATCAAGGAAGCAAGCTGTTTCTGTCATGATATCTGCTCTCTGAACAGAATTCCACAAAGCCACCAGTCTGACTATTTTTAAAAAGTATTTGAAAACCTGCCTTTTTCCCAGGCCTTGGGTTAGGGTGAGTAGCAAGCCTCTTCTGGGACTATATATATTGCTTGAAATAGGTAGATAAATACATTTTGAAGTGGAACACAGATGAGAACAGAATGCCCCCTTGTGCAAGTATTTTACACTGCTATCTTCTCTTTAAAATTACCACCTTTAATATATGAAAATTATAGTAGCTCATTTTATATTAACATAGCAAGTGCAAATAGCTGCAAAACATTTATAACACAGGAAATTGAATACCTTAAGTTAAATGCACAATAAATATGAAGATATGTGTTAACAAGGGATTCCATCCAGTGTCATGTGAACAGAGAGCTATTCACATAACAGAACCTCCCCTTGTTCTTTTCCTTGTAGCCATTCTAAACAGAATCCATTCAGATTGTCATGGTCTTATCTGAGGATGATATCTGAGAAGACAACAGGTCAAGCAGTTCCAAAGAGACTTCTTCACATATTGAGTTACACCCTAATGCAGACTGGAGCCAGGACCTTCTGTCCAGAATTTTTCTCTAGATTCAACGGCGTTGCCATTCGCCCACCCCTTTGAAGGGTATCAATACAAGGAAATATTGGAAAGGGGATTTCCCCCCGCCTTTCAATCCCATCTTAAGCAGAGCATTTACGTATCAAACTATAGCTGCCATTCAAAGCTGCAGACACAGAGAGCACCACTATGTAAATACAGCAGCGAATTTGAACAGCCCACTAATGAAAGCAAGATTCAGAGTGGCATTTCATATTTAACATTACAGCTCCTGAGGTCATTACTTCAAGTATCTGTCAGCTTATCACAGGCTGAAGAATGGTACGCCCAATGCCCCGTCGCAATAATACACAAGGGTTTTCCATTAAAAAAAAAGAGAGAGAATAGACTAGAAACTTCATACAGTTAGGAAAGCAGGTTCTGCATTCTAGAACTAAACAATATTTATTTTTGAAATATTCTCCATAACATCTAAATATTCCACAAAGTATGAAACATGACCCAATGTCAGGATTTATCATCTTATTTACAGAGCAGTGAAACGCAATCATGATTAAGGTTTTATTGTTTATCATTCTCAGGCAAACCTTATCAAGAAACAATAAAATTTAAGAAAAATCAAGATATCTTTCAAAAGACATTTTTAAAGTGAGCAAAATGAATATATGGAATAATGACAACTAGAAATGTATTGTTCAAATCAGACTGAATTCTCTATTGAATTGTCTCTTTTTTCTTTCATAGAAGTTGTTTAAAACTCCATCGTCCACCAATCTGCTGTCAGAATGTAAATCTAAGAGAAGACCTACATTTTGTATACTGCGTAATACACAAATGGATTTTTAAATTTGTTCCTATTGAATTTTCTTCAGCTAAAACTAATATTAAACATTGAAGGGCTCTAAAATCTTGTCCCAAAACCAGATCCATTTCCAAATCTATTTTTTCCTGGTATAAGCTGACAAACCAATACGGCATTTTTAGAAAAAATAATAATATATTTTTGGTTTGAAAATATATGTGTATATGTATCTATGCACACACAGTCTTTCTCTCTCTCTAAGTACATTCATGGTTCTTACTGCTAAAAATCTGGTGACAGTTTACAGAGAGTATATACATACCTATATACAAAAATACTGGGAAATTCAATAAATGTGAACAGCATTTGTTGTATGTATGCATGTGTGTGTGTGTGTATGTATGTGTGTATACACACACACACACACGTGCACACACACACACACAACACACACACACAGAGAGAGAGAAGTCTATTTCACTAAAGCCCAATATTTAGAGCTACTGAAGGCATAACTTGTTATACTCCATGTGAAACAGGAGAATTTAAGCAACAACTGGTAAACAGACTTCCAATGTCAAGAAGAAACAAACCCACTTCTACAGTATGACAGTTCCTAATCATCCTACTTTAAGAAAACAGAAGTACTTTTGAAGGCTTTTACCATTCCTAGAAACTTTTGCAACAAATTAACATAAGAATTGATAATACTGTCAGTTAAAGCTAATCCCAGAACAAATTACAGTTGAGAGTATATTTTTCTAAAATGGAATGGAAATCTTCACCACTTTTCTCCCAGTTCCAAAGGAAGCAATTTTTACTGAGATAGATGGACACCATGTGTCCTCACCATGTCCATGAGATGATGCCTGCCTATTTGTTAAGAACGAAGCTTGACTTGCATTTGTTGCAGCATCTGGGTCATGAAGATGCTTTGACTCTTGTGAAGGCTGGTATTCAGGACAATAAACAGGGTTGATGGACAAGAAGATGCTAGAGCCTTTACAATCTGACTGTAAGGGAGAACCACCCATATCTGAACATGAAGCTTTGATCACAACTGAAGGAGCTGGCTGTTTTCTGAATTCTCTTACTACTTTAATAGGAAAGGATGTCCAAGGGGTGGCAAGTATTAAAGATATCTTGGAAATCTTGTGATGAGCAGGAATTATTTCAATACTAGAAGTCTTCCCAAATTCTTTGCTAGCTGAGTGATGGTTCTGAAAGATGATCATATCAGGATCTAAAGGTGAATGAGTAACTGTTCTTTTGCCAAAAAGGGTATTTGCTTTAGCTAATGTAGATGGAGTCAACCATACTTTTTTGAAGGCTGTCTGTGGAGGAAGAATAGGGCACTTAGTGCGGTTGGTGACATGAGGTTGTTGAACCTGGTGATCTGCAGTGTTTCCAGAAGGGATAACTTGATGACTCTTCTGGGTTCCTCTTGTAAGACCAGGAGATGTAGTTGAGATCTTTTTCAGGTGAGGTACTAGAACGCTGGAATAAGCAGCTCTTATTGGTTTGATAGCAACACTGCAAGTTGAAATATAGAGTTTTACGGAAGCATGGAGATCTGAAAACTGAGAATTGCACCGGCTATAGTTTTGCCCTGTTGACTTGAAGTTACAAGGTGCAAGAATTTGATACAGATCTTTATTCTGAGATGATGAAGCATCTGGAATGGCACACAGAGAAACATCTAGACGTGATGTCCAGCATGGTAGAGCTTTTGAAGCAGCCGAATGGAAAGCTATTGCAGAAGAATGACAAGCATCCCAGTCATTTCCTTTCCAACCACTTGCACCACTGCTGGAGATAAGCAATGATTGAGCATCAATGCTGTTGTATTCTTTGCATCGAGTCTCTCTCAAAAGTGTGGGACAGGCAGACTTGAAAGTGGAGGAATTAATACAGCTGTTATGTTTCTTTAAACTATTCCTCTTCTTCGAATGTGCCAACACTATATCTAGCCTTGAGCTGTGAACCTCTGAAGACAGGCAGGGAGAAGGCAAGGTGTCACTTATTGATAAGGTCTCTGCAGATGATGAATGAGCTGGAAAATACCAGGCTGAGTCTGATATATTTTCTGCTGGTGGCATCCTTTGGAAAGAAGCACCATAAACAGCAGCTCTGGAGATCGGTGATGGGACCACTCTGGCAGAAGACAACATAACTTCCAGTGTAGAAATATAGATGGGTGTGTCTGAAGTCTTGTTAGGAAGATATCTGCATGGCATCCTGCAGTTTTTAATCCTAAGGTTTGAAAAGATAAGCAGTCTCTGCTTCTGAGCTGTTGCTTAAAACAAATGTTTCACCCTTTTTAGCTTGGCAGTAGAGATTTCCATTCTTCCTCTGAGGTGAATAAGTGAAATGTAAAGAAGTATTTCTATAATGAAGGCATCTGTATTTGATTAAGAATGAGACGTAGTAGAATTGGCACAACTGCTTATTCAGTCTGCAAAATAATAGGAGCATGCAGCAAACGAAAAAAAACCCGATCAAGATGATGAGGCAGAAGCCAGATGTATCATCCAAGACCTAATTAACGGTTCTTAGATTTAAAAAAAATTAAGTTATTAACTCACCGGTGCTTCTACAGCCTTGAAAGACAAGGATACAGTATGTTCCACTGGTGCTAAAAGCAAAAGAGCTGCACTATAATGTTCTCTATCCCTCTCTCAATCTGCACAAGGAATAGCAGTTTCTCTGCTTAACAAGTCTTAGAAAGAAAAATTTCCTACAACTCTTCCAAGTAATGGCATACCCAGAGAGTCAGTAATAAAAAAGACAGATATATACTTGCTTAATTTCCTCCATATGTGCTGTTATTTACTTTAGGACAGAGAAATCCTAGACTAAACCTTACTGAAATCTTCTGAAGCCTTAAGTAATTTGGATGTAACCTAAGCTGTTGGCGTAAAATCAAGGTCAGACACACTGGCACAAGAAATGAATGGGAAAGCACTCTAATTCGGAACATGACCCAATGCTTTTCTTTCTTTCATATGCCACTGCTGGGATAGCCTTTACATAAATTTAGAGACACGGTTCAGTTCAATCAAGATCCATTGCGATAAAAAAACAAATATTCACACACACTTGACACCATCCACACACTCCCTTTTCCAAATACAGTTGAAAAGTTTAATGGGGCATTGCCCTCTCAGTTTTAAATGCTTGCTTTCTGCTAGTATCGTGCAACTTAACAAGGCTGCGATAAAGCTGCTTGAAAGCTCCACCTGAAACTTTGGTGTATAAGACTGGAAAACGTAAGAATTTAAATGAAATATTTTTGGTCTCCTTTCCAAAGAACAATAACAACAACCAAAACAAAATCCCCCTATTAAACAAGAATTTGTTTTCTTTAAATATAGAATGAGCTTGCACTCTACCCCGGATGGAAATGAGTTTAAGATTTTCTGACCTGTACCTTGGATTCACTAAAAACCTTCTCTACTAGGGGACCCCAAACTTGGCAACTTTAAGACTTGTGGACATCAACTCCCAGAATTCTCCAGTCAGCATAAACTGGCTGGAGAATTCTGAGAGTTGAAGTCCACAAGTCTTAAAGTTGTCAAGTTTGGGGACCCCTGTTCTAGCATAGTAGCAGAAACTGTTATTTTGGCCAGAGAGTAATGGTGTTTACACTATCAGCAGCTAACAGTTTCTTCCCATCTGGGACACATAGCAGCTACCAGGGAAGTAATTTTCAACTGAACCATGATATGTAGAAAAGGAATAATTTCTTCTTTCTCATCTGCTACAACAACTAACTCCTGATGCTTTCCTTTGCACCTGCTGATTTAAAAAGCAAACATTGAATGCCATTACATTGACCAAACTCAGTAGCAGATTGTAATGCCTGAGGCTGTGCTATTTTCTAAAGCACAGAAGGCAAGACAAGAAGCAATGGATGGAAACTAATCAAGGAAAGAAACAACCTAGTAATAAAAAGAAATTTCCTGACAGTGAGTACAATAAACCAGTGGAATGGCTTGCCTTCAGAAGTTGTGGGTGCTCCATGACAGGAGTTTTTTTTAAAAGAGAGTGGATAACCATTTAACTGAAATGGTATAGGGTCTGCTGCCTGAGCAGGGAGTTGGATTAGAAGAGGGGTCGCCAACCTTTTGGACCTCAGGGACCACCAAACTCATAATTTTAGATCCCAGGGACCACTAACTGGTTCTGTGGGTGTGGCCTAATTTGTGGGTGTGGCTTAATTTGTGGGTGTGGCTTAATTTGTGGGTGTGGCTTGGTGGTCATGTGACTGGCTGGGCATGGCTTGTATGTAAATATAAATATTTATATAAATATTGATTTTTTTATAAAAAAGAGCAACTTTTACCCAAAATCAGGCAAAGCAGGCAGGCAGATTGAGTTGCTCACAGAATCACAGATTCATTCAGAGATCTATCTATCTGCCATCGGCTAGCTCAGTCTGTCACACAAAATTTGCTTGCAAGCAAACTCATAAAATTTGCTAGCAAGCAAACTCACAAAATTAACTCACACCATGTATGTAAATATTGATTTTTTTATATAAAAAAGCAACTTTTATCCAAAATCAGGCAAAGCAGGCAGATTGAGTTGCTCACAGAATCATTGAGTGATCTATCTATCTGCCATCGGTTAGCTCAGTCTCTCAAATTTGCTTGCCGTGAGTCTGCACTGAATTTGCTTGCAAGCAAACCTTCAGTCCTAAGGGAGATTTGGCTGTGCTTAGCTAGAAAGCAAGAAATCCAACCATTTCCTGCTTCCTAGCTAATCTAAATCTCCCAGCACAGCAGAACAGATGACGGTCAGAAAAAGGAAAAATAGCAACTTAGCAGACAAGTTTGCTGGGTAAGGAGTGAGTGGGCAGGGAGGGTTCCTGCAGGCCATGTGGGCTGAGCAGCCTTGTGTTTCTGCACAGCCTGGATTAATTGCTTTGGAGGGTACTCTGGGGCTGAGATTTCTCTGCGGCCCACCAAAATTTTCTCATGGCCCATCAGTGGGCCACGGCCCACCGGTTGGCGACTGCTGGATTAGAAGACCTCCAAGTTTCCTTCCAACTCTATTATTCTATTATTCTGCAATAGGTTGTTTTTTTTTAGAATTAAGGGATTGATTTTACATCATATATCCTTGCACAGATGTATTATTGACCATGCTATTAAAAAGTCAGATACCAAATTTCCTTTTAGGGCTAACAATAAGGTTGATCAAAAGCAAATGTTTTCTTACTAATATGATAAGTTTTCTATACATGCAAGTACCTACGTGGAAGATAAAAGGAATAGATGGAGCATAGGACAAAAGGAAGAGATTAAGTACTTAATAGATTAAAATGCACCTTATAATGCATTAAAACACCAATAAAACATGTGCTAGCACTACCTCTTGAGAGTTTGAGATGTTGTCCAGGTATTCACAGTCTCGGTAAAATATCTGCAAAAGATGGATCTTCTCAAGCCATTCCTTCTTCTGTGCCCATACCTGGTACACTCTGTGCTTTGCCTCTATCAGAGTTTCTAATACACTTTGGATCTGAAAAGAAGAAGCCAACTGCTATAAAATGTCAGTAATAATCCATGAAGGGGCAATGGTTGATATTGCAGTTAACAGAAATACAGTGAGGCTCAATTTCCAATTATAATTACAGCAACTGTCTGTTTATACATGAGGAGGAAGGTGGGTGTGTTTTAATAAAACTCATTTTTCCTTTGAAAAGCACCATATCTTGCTTGGTTTTTATCTCACAAAATATCTAAACTTATTCATAACATGCTAATTTTGTGGAAATATTGGTGGTCTGAGCTCTGTGCAAAGTTATAAGATTGATGATAAAGTATATATACTTCTCCTGTTGCCATTTTCTGATCCAGCGCAAGCTCTTGTCCCAGCTGTGACACTTGCTCATAAATCTCATCTCGAGACTCAATCTCTGACAATAGCTGCTGAAGCTGATTAATCTTCAGACCACTGGTAGATACATCTCGAATGGTCTCCTCAGCTGCCATTTCTCTTATCATCCCAGATGCCCAGGAAGAATAGTCCCATACCTTAAATATTGAGGAAAGGAAAATGTAAGATGTCCTTATATGGCAATATAGGTAACAGATGACACTTCTTGTAGCTCAGTTCACACATAGCACTAAAATGGATTTATGGATTCACACATCAGACAAAAAAACTGTCAAGGCTATCTACCAAATATAGAATATATGTCCTTGGGCAAATAAATCCAGCCAAGTTGCAGCAAAACTATAAAGCAATTACAAAAGAATTTATGTAACTACTGTGCATCAAATACAAGTTTTATTTATACTGATTCATGTTCAAATTTCCTGTGCCTCTTTTTTGTTCTTGCTTTGCATAAAGCTAGGAGGTAAATCTTGGGCAGGAGATATAGTTTCCATTTGTTCCTGATTTTGTGATACTAAATGCCTAATGTAATATCAGGCTGTTTTCATTTCATTTTGGAGAATTATCCCACATAATCACATAATGGCTTTTTACGGTATGCGAACCCAGTTAATGGTATGGATCTCCGTGGTTTGAGAGAGGGATTTTTTTCCAGCTCCATTTTAATATGACAGAAACACAGTAATTAATAATAAAGGGGAGGAAAAACAAGTAATGATATAAGAAGAAACCATATAGGAAGACTATATGAGTTTTTTATAATAATTATGCTGGCAATATTATATTAAACATTCAATAGATTCACATAAAAGATGGATGTCAACCTTTAGCCTCATAGAAGCTCCTGCCTGCAATACAAAAGGCCTCTTGTTTTCCACAAGACCTAAGCAGGGTCATGCATCTTTAGAATGTAGGCTATAAATGATATGTTAATACAGGTACATGCTACAATAGTCTGCAATTAAACGTGTGCAATTCTATGGTTCCGTTGCAGAATATTAGTTCACCATTCTGGAAAATATTGGCCAATACAACTGGAGAACAGAATAATATAGGATTTAATTTTTTTTTTTTTTAGAAAAGAACATTGAAATCCTCACATAGGTTTGGAAGCGGTATAATCTGCAAGCGTGTTCTAGCTGCTCCCTGTTTTGTTCCACTTTACACCGCAAAATTTCCCAATTCTCCATTAAGGCCTGTTGCTTTGCCTTGATCTCCGCTGCTTGCCTCTCAGAGCACAGGTAGAGCACGCCATCTGCTGTATCAATCAAAACATGCAGCTGCAAAACAGGAAAAAAAAATGAAGTGAATCATTTAACTTTTAAAATAAAGTTTAAAAACCCATCCATCAATGACATCTTCCCAGATGATGGATATCTCCACTCCACTCTATACAGAACTTCATAAGCAGCCAGTGTCTTGAATTTCAGTTTGCAGGGATGAACAGACCTCAGAAAATTAAACTATTAAAACAGACTCTCTGTCTCGTCTATTTACACTAGCTGGGGATTTGAAACTGGCACAATATCTGCAGCTGGCTGTATTAAGTAGCCCATGAGGACAATCTGTCATGTCTATATGAGAAATAGTCTGATAGCACTGGCAGGAAGACGAAGAAGACAGCCAAATCGTTTTTGTTTCTGCAGACATGACTCCCTCCCGTTTGTCCATCAGCAAATCTGTCAGGCCAAGTGCTGCTTATCCTTCTTCTCTCTACTCAGTATGTTCATCCTCTTTCCCTTTCTTCCTCCAAGAGGAGGGGGAGGAAGAATTGCTGAAGCTAGCAGCTCACAAGGTAGTTTTGTTGGACAAATACTGGGGAGACGAAAGTAAGGGCAATGTTGGGTGGACTGGGATTGCAGCTATGGAGCTTCCTCTACTTTCCAAAAGGTCTCAGCCCAGGGGTGGGATTCCAATTTTTTAACAACCGGTTCTGTGGACATGGCTTAGTTGGTGGGCGTGGCTTGGTAGTCATGTTATTGGCTGGGCATGGCCAACTCAATATCACTCACATCGAGGCACGCACCTCCTCGCCTGGCCTCTCATGACTGTGGGGATGCTGCAACAGTCGTAAGTGTGAAAAATGGTCATAAGTCACTTTTTTCAGTGCCATTGTAACTTTGAATGGTCACTCCACACAAGCAAAGTACCAGCAAAGGAGGGGGAAAAAAACTCCAGAGAAGTTCCTGAGACAGGAAGTCTAGTCCTGCCAAGGATGTAATAAGGGTTAACGGAGAGGCAGTTTCTGTAAGCAACACCAGAATGTTTCCTTCCTGCCTTCCTTACAGGATTAGGCCAGTAATTTCTTCTAACAACCGGTTCTCCGAACTGCTTAGAATGTTAACAACCGGTTCTAGCGAACAGGTGAGAACCGGTAGAATCCCACCCCTGTCTCAGCCTGGTAATCCATATCATTTCTCCTCCTGGGTGGTAAGGAGATAAAAGAGCTATAGGTGGGGTATCCCCATTTCAAGGCAAGGAAGGACTCTATCCATCTCATCCATAGCACTTGAAAGAACCCTCTGAGAATGTCCTGGTTCAAGACATGTGCTTTCTTCCTTGGTTCATTTATTAAATTTATGTCTCATATTTCATTCGAGTGGTGCGGTGGCCTAGAGGTAGAGCTCTCGCCTCACAATCAGGAGGCTGTGAGTTTGATCCTAGATAGAGGCAGATATTTCTCTCTCTGGACACAATAAGAATATATTTGCTGAACAAAACTCCGCATTGATGAAAGGAAGGGCATCCGGCCAGTAAACACTCAGCTCCATTCAGTTGTCCAGACTCTACCCCACAAGGATTATGAGGTCATTGTTCTGTCCTTTATAATTACTGACTGAATGTATAAAGGCAGACAGATAACTCTACAAAGCATCCATACAAAGTTTCTTTATTGGTTCATCAGGTATCCTCATATATAATTCACGGTTACGTCGAGATTCATCTCAATGTCCAAATCTTTGCATAGCTGAATTCATAGTGTAAAAGGATAGTGCTCTTTTCATCCCCATAATGAAGGAGCAAGGGGGGGTGAGGTACCAGCATGCTGCTGGGGTCCAGGCAAGAGTGAAGGAACCTCCCCCAACCTACCAAGGGTCAATTCAGTGACCAATCAGGATTACAGATATGACCACATGACATGGACTACATTTCCCAGGATGCCTTAACTCATTTACCTTAAGGGACAGCTCCCAATTCCTAACTAACTATCCCAATTCCCAATTAACTATAAACTGTCTGGACAGCACAGTCATTAAAAGATTATCATGATGGTATCCCATATTTCATTCATGAATTCAAGGTGGCATACCTAGCACTTGCACCCCCTAGTTTTCCCTGGAATAACTTACATTAACATAGGGTCGCTGGCCTAGTGTTACCGAATGAATTTCCATGTCTGAAGATAGACTATAACCTGGCTTTCCTGCTCCTAGTTTAATGGATCAACCACTTGTTGATGGCATCTTGCTGATGATTAGTTTCAGTTCAAACTCATATTTAAAGCATATCATATTTAGAAGACAAGAATGCAGGAACATTCAAAACAAAGACCATTATATCTGTAAGCTTCCCAGAGTTGCTGTGAGTTGGACAGTCATGTAAATTTTCTTAATACATTTTTTTAGGACTGCAGTATATCTTACCTGTTTCTCATTCCCAAATAATTCATGCTCAAGAGTTGCTTGCTTACGTAGCTGTGACTGCACCCCATTTAGATCTTTTGCAATGGAATCTGGGATGGTCTTCAATTTGTCCTAAAGACCAAACACGTTTTCTGTTAATCACTCTGGTCTGATTTTGTTTTAAGATAGGCAATATATAAAACTCCTTTCTTTTGCATATGTGGGAGTCTATTTATAAATAAACAACATTACCCATAAAGTGATCTAAATCCCTCCCTCCCACTGTATAAACTCTTTGCTCTAGAACCTATCTTTGATACTGGAAAGAAAGTGGCTGAAGAAAAAAGTATGTTATGCTATGGAGTACAATTTAATTCCCTTATTCATCTGAGCCAAATTTCTACATTTCTATATGTATATATGAAAGAAAAATGGGAATAAAATATTGGACAACTGTTTTTATTTCCCCTTTTATATTTTCCTGATTTAAAAATGTTATGGGCAAATGTAAATGTTCACAATACTATAATTTTACATTTATTGTCAGCCATCAAGTTTACTTAGAGTGGAAAAGCTAGGTAAACAATAGAAATGAATGGTTGTTGTTCCATATCTGATCTGAGCCTCAAAAAGACAATGTTTGTGTCTGTTTTCTGACGCAATTTTCACCTCAATGTGGCTGAGAGCTTCCATCAAGTCCTGCAGGCACTTGTAAATTACTTCAGCATCTTGCAACTGTTTGCCTTTGTAGTTTGTCATCTCCAGCAACTCCTGCCAGTCATTGCTAAAGCGGGGAAAAAGTCACAGGTATGAGGCAGTAACCAGAAGCAAGTTAGAAGTGGACAGGCATGAAAGAATGTGTCAGTCAGTGATGAGCTACCTATCAATCAGCTATGCCAATTTCTGGTGGTGTTTTTCTGGAATGGAAGTTAAAAAATACACAGTGGTGTCATACTATAAATCTACCTACTTTCCCCTTGCAAGAAATCTATCAGAATTTCTTGAGTTAAGATTTAAAACAAATTAAGAAATGTGTACATGTGTACAATTTTATTGTACTGAATTAATTAACAAAAATATGCCTGTATGCATATAGGACTGGAGATGATGATGGAAAAGGTTTTGGCAATAGCCATCCATCCATCCATCCATCTGTCCGTCTGTCTGTCCGTCTATCTATCTATCTATCTATCTATCTATCTATCTATCTATCTATCTATCTATCTATCTAGCTCTGAGAGGTTTTCATACAGATAAATTATATAAACAAACCAATAATACTATACTGTAAACTAATAAAAATATACAATCTTATAAAAAGTCATCAAAATGCACATATATATGTATGTATGTATGTATGTATGTATGTATGTATGTAGGTCTAGGTGTGTTCGGGTCTTTTCCCGTGTAAGATTAAGAGTATCTTGGCGACGTTTCGGTGAGGTCCCACTCGCCATCCTCAGGCTGGTGCTTTCGGCTTCTGCTTGCACTGGCACGAAGCCGAAAGCACCAGCCTGAGGATGGCGAGTGGGACCTCGCTGAAACGTCGCCAAGATAATTTTACACGGGAAAAGACCCGAACACACCGACACCTACATACCTGTATCCGTGAAACCTTTCCTCTTGGTTGAGAACAAGTAATGAATTTAAATATTGATATAACAATCCATTGTTGCAAATCAAAACTACATTTCTCCTTCCACTTCTGCAAAATTCTGAATAGTTCAAGAAAGATCTTAGGTCTTGCAGCAAAGTAGACAGGCCACCCAAATGTTCTTCATGGAAGGTTTTTCCCCCCATATGGCTCTTTTACAGCTTCCTGATCCTTGTCTTGAGAAAGAAAAGACCAGACTGAAAAATTAATGGAAAAAAGACAAGAATGCTTTCTTACCTCAACTGTTTCTGCTTCTTCCGAATCTCCCTGGATTCAACATGGCCATAATCCAACATTTTCTGTGCTAACTGATGACATGCAGCAACTCTCTGGGCAGCAATTTCCATCTGATGCAGAGATTTTTCATATTTGACACAAAGAAGCTTTTGAAGAAAATGAATAGAAGAAAAAAATGAAATGATGAATAGTTTTGAATTTTCCAAGTTAGCCCATCTGATTTTTCCTGTGTGATCCCAGTATGAATTTATTTCAAAGTACTGTGTCTACTAAAATCTGAAATTCCAAATATCTTCTTCCATATTTTGTTCTAGAAGGATAATCCTAGAGCAATTTGAAAAGATTTACATCTTCCTTGCAGTTTTATGTCTGCTCAAACAATAATAAATATTACACAGGGAGTCTATTCATGGCATTGACTTTATTTCATAAGAGCTAAAATTTTACTCAACCTCTTATCTGCACATGATTCTGTCAAAATGCCAAAGTCTCCAACAGAAACCAAATAAGATTTTAGGACATTAAAAGATTGGTTAAGCATTTATTAGATTGGTGTGCTTGTTTTTTTTTATCCCATTTTAGGACAATAGGATTTTTTTTGGCATTGGTTTTGAATTCTGCCAACTAATTTATAATCTAGTAGTACAATACTTTTGCTTGAGCAGTAGCTTGAATTACTTGAAAATATCTTCCGATTCTGTGATGCTAATTATAAATGAAATCTAATCATGCAAAATCTATTTTTTAAAACCATCTCAAGTAAAAACAAAAAAGGAAAGCAAAAAAAAATAGTGACCTCAATGAGATCATGTATCATATGAACAATGCTTTGGAGGGGGGAAGGGATTATTTATTTGACTTCAAACTTTAGCCTCTAATCCAAGGGTGGTTAGTTACTACTCCAACTGATAATCATATCTATCTTTATTTCAAATAGGATCATTCTTTTGATTTATTGTGCAATCTCCTTGATCAGAAAAATAATATTTTCATCATTATTCTGTTGACATCTTATTAATTTTGGGGAACAATGAGTAATCATGAACAGATTACTCTTTATTCAAGCATCTAAATTTCATAAATATTTCTTGTCTGCAAAAGTTCTCTAAAATAATTATTAGTCAATGCATTAAAATGCCTAAAAAGATGAGTCAAATTCTGGTGACTTTATAGATACATTCACATAGTATCCTTGACAGCAATACAGCAATAGTTTACCTTTGTCTTCCTCTGAGATGCTATTTCAACTTCTCAGTCCAGTCTATGGCCCTGATGTTTCCAGGTATCCTATCCAAGTATTAGCTAAACTTAAACAACTTACCTTCTGAGCCCAGAGGTTGGCCAGAGGCTATTCTCAGTTGAAAGTAATCAGTTTCACCAACACCTTAACTCAACAGCTTGATAGATTATTCCAACCCCAAAGAACATGTTCTTTTGTTCTATTTTACATGTATGAAGTCACTCTTGCAAAAATCATGCATGAAGCCAGTCTTCCTGAACAGTCATGTTATATATTTTATACCATTGCAATATATTCTGCAAATCTGTTTAACCATTAGCATTATAACTTACAAGGACATGGTCATAATCAGCTCCATAGTCTTCAGAACTGGCCACCTGCTTCTTCTCATTGATCCAGCCCTCAAGATCTTCATATTCTCTCAGAAAGTCATGTAGTTCAAGTGTCTCCTCCAACCGTTTACCCCTAATTTGAAGATAAAATAGACAGAACAAAGGCAACAGAAAGCTAAGGAGTTTTGATACAATCACTGTGTAAAAATTACACAACCAATATCATTTTGAAGCTTAAGGCCAATGATTATAACTGATAGGATATGGATAGAAGACCCTTATGCAGCATTAGGCTAAGGACATCTATGTTAGTGTACTTTGCCTTCTTCATCTTTCCTCCTTAAAAATAGCCAGATTTCTACCATTAAGGGGAAAAAAGATAGGAAGAATGCTATAAAAATATGGGTGGATTCTACATGGGTTACACTTTTATTTATTTATTTAATCAATGTATAAGGCTGCCCTTCTTGTAGATGTGACTCTGACACCAATAAAAATAATATTAGCAAAAAATGTGGCTTCATTATATATGAGTGAAGAGGTAGGATCAGTTTAACAATAAATACTCCTCTGAAAACAGCCAAAAAAAGTAGTTCATCTGGATATGGATGGATGGTGCATAGGTGACATAACCTTGTGTCTAAGCAGCACGTTCCTGCTTCCCTGTCTTCTTATGAACTGCCTATTTTTTTTAGCCAAGATAATTTCCACGAAGAGGACAAATACTTTCACCTTGTTGTATATAAAGCATAACATATGATTATGCAGAAACCAACAGATGCTGCAACTTTCCTTCATGACTACATAGACCCATATGCATTTTTTTGCCTCTGCAGACATGATGTATAATTATCTCCTACTGAATTATTAGGATTGAGCTCTCTGGCAAGGCAATATAAAACCAACACACACAAAAAATCAGAAGACTCCCATGATTTTCACATTGTATGATTGAAATTCACTTCCTAATGAAAAGAAAAGGGAAAAAGGTGAAAAAAAGAAAAGAAAGCTAACAAGAAAATATATAATTGGACCACACAGTCTTTTTTCCTCCCCTACCTTGCTTTGGCCAATGTTTGTAGTTCTTGAAGCTTTGTGTGGACCTGTCTTTGAGGCATATCAACTTCATCGTAATGGATAGAGTCTGAAAGTGGTAGAGTTTTGGCAGTTTCTTCTAGTTCCACAACCAAGTTCTGATAAATGCCAATTTCATGCTCTAGAGCCTGACCCAAAATAAGTACCAGTTAAAGAAAAAATGTAGAACATTCAACACTGACAAAAAGTAGTCCAGTTTTACTTGATGTACAAAGGTGATTCAGGAACCCCAAATTAGCAGACAATGTCCAATTTAACTGAAGCCATATTCAACACATATAAAGCAAGCTAGAAGCCACTTACAGGAGTCTTCCAAATGCAAAGTTTGTTAGAAGCCATTGTAAAAACAGATTTACATAAATAATGTACTGACAGGGAATTACTAATAAGAAGCATAAACTATATGACAGTAGAAGCAAGTTGTTTACAAAGGATTTTCTAAGAAAGGAGCAACTTTATGGTAACTCTGTACATGGTTAAAGGCAAAGAAGTCGCTTTTCAAAATCAACCAATTACTGTTTGAGAATTGTTATTTGATCCTAATAAGATACATATGAGGGTGATGCCTCTAACCAACTTGATAAAAGCGCTTGTTTTCTTGCAAAATTTATCATCTGTGAGAAAATACTCTGATCCCAGTTTCAATGAAGCAACTTTATTAAGCACTCTTTAGTTGTTGGTTCGCAGTTGTTTGGGCATTCAGCAATACTTTTCCACTTTGAAACTGAAATACCATACTAGGTTTATTTCAGGACTGTACAGAACTATAAATAATAGGTTGGGACATACTTAAGAGGGCAAAAACCTGGCTACAGCCTTGTAGAGCAGGGCTGTCAAACTTGAGGCCCGCAGGCCAGATGAATCACCGCTGGTCACACCCACAGCCAGTTTAGCAAAGGATAAAAAGGTTGCGATATGTCATGTGACGATGCCGTGATGATGTGACTTTGACACTCCTGTTGTAGAGTGTGTGTGGAAATTATTTATCATTAGATGAGTATTATTATTGTCTACTTCCCTTGTCTTTTGACATATTGCTACTGTTCATAGCAATTAAAAAGAGATGATGTGATGATGTTTTTCAAATCGATGTGAAAAACTAGACAGACCCATGAAGTTGAAATAAACTTGAATAGGATGAAATATATTATTTCTTTGAACTTTGAACAAGGTGCTGGGTAGTCCACGGTGGAAAATACTCAAGGCTGAATTGTTGAGTTCTTGGTGTTCTCTAAGCTTGCTTCTTTTCTTGCAGAAGTTTCCTTAGCAGGTTAAATAACATCATCAGTGCACGGAGGAATATAATTTTCTGACTGTTTATATATAGCATGGTAACTTCTCCTACCAACCTTGATTGGGGTATTATTTCTTCTTAAATGATTTTGGGAGGGATATTGTTTCTTCTTTGCTCGTTCTTGTTTATCTGGTGCTGGTTCTCAATGATCTAGTATTGGTTAATAGGTATGTGAGTGTTTGATCTTTGATTGCTTCCTTTCTTGAGTGGCTTATAGACTGATCTTATCTTAATATTTTTATCTGTTAATGGCTGACTCATCAGAATGCCATGTCCCCAGGAATTTTCTTTCACTTTGGATTTAGCTTGTTCTTCTAGATCCCATGCATTGGTGATATTTCTTAATTTGGAAACGAAACATCTGCAGGAACAGAAACAGGCTCAGAGACCACCAGGAGCCCAGTGTGCATTGATAATGTTGACTGGTTTATCAACAGAACTTTTACAGGGCCCTTACAGCATGATTTCTCTTAGGGCAAGAAAATTAAAGGGAATGAGGGGGGTGGACCAATTCTCATTTTAAAAAGTAGTCCATGTAGAGTTAACATTACTGTCAGAACACAACATAGTTCATAGACACTATGAATTTGTCATATCAATTAAGAATCAATATTTTAAAATTAGCCTCTATAGGTGTATAGTCTGTATATATATAAGTTACCTTATATTTTGCTATATGGTTAAGAGTTGCGGCTTCATCATTACCACAATCTTTGTTGGTGACCAGAGGAAGCTTCTCTGCCACCCAATTCTCGAGGTCCCAAATATCCATTAAGAACTTTAAAAAAATGAAAAGTACACATGGTGATATTAAGTAAACATAAGAGGCAGTAACTTTCACAGATTAGTTCTATAAAATAGTATTTTTGCATTCTCAATATTAAATAAAAAGACAGCTAAAAGGACCACATGTATTAATTACGTACAAGGACAGAGATAAAATTTTCAGTGCTTCAGGAGACAATGCCAAGGAACTTATAAATCTGAAACTACAGTGATAAGACATACTTGAAAGAACAAAATGAGCAAAGTCAGAAAGGAGTCTTTCCTGTTTCAAAATATCTATCTATCTATCTATCTATCTATCTATCTATCTATCTATCTAT